AAGCGCCTCGAATTCTCCCGTTTGCTTTTAGACAGTCTAAACGTGCATTCCATTTTATTCACCGATGAGGCAGTGTTCCCTCTGCATGGCGAAGATACGCAACATGTTTGTGCAACAACCAACCCATGGCAAGGTAGCATTTTACGGGTGTAACATAGCGCGAAGCTCATGGCCTGGGCCGGGTTGACTGATTGAAAAACCATTAAGCCCTTTTTATTTTAAAAGGGTGTGTCCGGTAGGTGATTGTTTAACAGCAGTAATGTCTGACATTTCTTAGCATCCGCGTACATGGCAATGTTGCAGAGCAGCGTCATTCCGCAGCTACAGTCGGAGTAGTTAATGAATAACGTTTGGTGGCAGCAGGATGGCGTACCTGCACATTTGACGCAATGGCTTCGTGCCTATCTGAACGAGACATTCGGTGTAAGCTGGATAGGTCGCGGAGGACAGATGGAATGGCCTGCGAGATCACCGGATCTGAATCACATTGCATTTCTCCTGTGGGGATACTTGAAACGCAGAGTTTATAGAACGAAACTTAACAACCTGGATGAACTGAAAGAGAATATTGTGAAGAAATGTAGGCAGATTTCGTTGGAGACATTGCAAAAAGTGCTCGCCAAAACCATTCGGCGATGCACCTCTGTAGCCAAAACGACGGGGAGAATTCCGGACATCTAATTCGTTGATATTTACAGACATTTCATGTAAATATAAGAAATGAATAAGTGTATATTATCCATTGTGGACAAGAAACACCGTCGAAGACCTGATCAATCTGTACAACTAGCAACTTCCTGACTGTGAGGGCAATAGCTACTTTCATGACTAGACTGGTGTACTGTCTAATGTTGCCACTAGTGCATCGGGGCTCACTGAAATCTAAGAGCACTGTCACGTCAAGTCAAAATGCGTTTTTATGTACCCATGAAGAGTGAAGTTACAGATGTAACACACACGCGATCGAAAACGTAAAGCGAACAACACTGCAACCTTACAATGTGCTCCCGGCAGTATGATTCCCTTTAGCAGCGAAAGCAGCCTAATGAAAACTTTCGTTGGAAGCCAGTTATCAGGCGATAACAGCATTGTGGTGATAGCAATACGGCGCCCATCGACCGGTCATCTTATACAATCAGACTGTTTTCCTCAAATGCTAGCAGAGCGAGACACTAACCACTTCGCAAGGAACCCTTTTGCTAGCTTTTTCATCTGCGTGAAGACCGACTACCGATCGATCGAAGCATGACACGTTCAGCGCAGCTGTGGTGTCTGACTAACTTCCAGTTCGTCCAGCTGAACGGCCTGCGTTCCGTTGATCTTGCTCTGTGGTCGAGGCATGACATTGCGCCTGTGGTGTCTGGCTAATTTCTACTCCGTTGGTCTAGCTCAGCAATCGACGCATGACAGGTCGATTGCGGTTGTGGTGTTTGCTAACGTTCACTTCTCACAGCCGAACGGCTCGGTGTGCCCTGCGATCGTAGACACACATGTCGCGCCTCTGTGCCCCATCTCACCCCTGCTGGCAAAGCAATTTGCGCCATTGGACAGTTAGCAATTCAACGTGCCGGAGTGCGTCAGTATCTGAGTGCAGCCGCTCCTAGCTTCGGACATGATTAATAAAACACCCTGTAGATTGTTCAAACGTCAGATCGTGGTTGCCCAGAAACCAACTGCTACATTGAGAAGAAAGCTGTCAAACCCAAAGGACAACCGGGAAGAACGAGAACGAACGAACGTTGGGTACAGAATAAATTGCAGTAATTGGGAAAAGAACTATGTAGGACAGACAGGAAGGAAATTAGCAAATAGGATGCAAAGACAGCAAAGGGCTTGCGAGAGACATTATGCGTCTTCACTGGTATCAGCGCATGTTAAAGAAGAGGGACATGGCTTTGACTGCAACAAAAGAGATTCTGGCCTTTGAAGAGACACGAAAACGGAGGGAATCCCTAGACCCATGTTTATCTTTCAATTATTCGATCAATATGCACATGGATATCGACCCCCTGTACTAAAAACTCAGAGAGGAAGCCCGTGAATCGAAAGGCAAAGTTCGAATGGAGACATGCGACTGATAGGCAGAGCGGCCGCTTCAGCTACCGGGAAAATGAGAAAAGAGCACGGAACGAGTCGAAGTGTCAGTTCAAAAGTCACCTGACCGTCGATCACGGAAGGACGAATCAGTAGACAAGATTTTCCAACGTACATAATCGCACTGATGATGCCACCCCGTGTGGTGGCCAAACGCATGCAGACATTTAATCAAGACCGGCGAGTCAATCAACAAACGAACCCGGGCACCAGTGTTTCAAATCATTTCAAACCAGGATATGGCTCGACTAATGTAAGCCGAAGTAGACGGTTAACAAGAGTTAGGAGATGACCTTGCGACGCAGTGGTTCAAGTGTACCACACAACAGAGCGCCACCAGTGATCCGTCATCAAATATCAACTGGCAACCTCGTGTGCGTTTATCTTGGTGCTAACACATAGGTAAAGGACGTTTCGCAAAGCGTGTTGATCATAGAAAAACGTTTAAAAGTCTTCAGTGTAAAGTGCCCAGGTCACTAATTAATGCATAAACGCAGATCCCACTGCAGATTTGCGCCCTTGACTGACAAAACTTTTATTCTCGACAAGGCGAGGCACGCCTTTACAGGCATGATCATTTTGACAAAACAATGCGTGATAAAGAATGTGCAAAAATCCGATATGTTTGCCATAACAGTGCTTGTTTGTGCAGGGGGCATGTAAGTATGTAAGTGTGTGTGCGTTTATGTAGCTGTGTAGGTTGCGCTCGTAAATGTGCTGCTCCATTCTTGAATGTTTGCTATCGTCAGCAATGTGCGAGTAGAAGATTGGTGTCCGTGGGTTGGAAAGGATTATAAGATATCCACGGGGCAGTGACTTTATTTTGTGGCGAGCCACGACCGCCACGTCACAGTGTTGTTAAGCAGACATTTGTGGTTTTTTACAAAGAGGACGCTTGCCAGGCGAAAACCCACCACGTCCTGGAACACTACCGCCGATCTATTAGCTGGAACGGGTTAAGCCCGAACCACCCAGCTGGCACCACGAGGTTGTTCGGCTAGCCAGCCAATAACTGGGATCTTAGAAATATACGTGGGCTTCCATGAGGCGCGTCGGCCGATGGCTGAGTGGTCTGCACACCTGGTTTGCAACCATAAGGTCACCGGTTCGAATCCGCGTAGGGGTGGGTGTCCTCGCGGTATACTCAGCCCGCGCGCGACTGGTGGTCACGTGGAAGCGAAGCACCGTTGCGGCGTACAGCTGGCCATTGATTTTTAACACAAATATTGTTTCGTGATTATATATAAAAATATAGGATGTTGGCCCGGCCCTGTAGCAACGCTTTGAAGAGAGAAGGCAAGAAGAACGCGCCGAAGCATGCCGCAATTTATATCAACCTATCCGGAAACGCATGTACATCCATTACATCCGTCACGTAGAGCTCCGTCGATGCTAAACCAAGATCAATCAGTCGACTACACCACGGAGTTCGGTACATTTCAGTTGGTTAACCACGAGCTTGCGCTGCGACGCGGATGATCCAGATGCATAAATACCCGCGGAGACAACTGTGTTAAGCACATTGATGAGAATAAAAGTGATCAAAACCATGGACTCATTGCAAAGTGGCGTCGCAAATAGACGATACACACGACTGTTACACCGAGCGAATAGAGAAGAAAAGTTGCTCCAGAAATCAAAAAGCATTTCGTGAACACCGGTGGAAGGTGGACCCCAATACAACATTCCCATGCTTAAGCCCCTTCAGAACATTGATATCCAATGAGAGCACCCCCTGTCAAGTGTTCGAAAACAGCTGTCAGTGACACTGTTACCGTAACAGTGGTGCATCGATTGGTCGCAGATCGACTTCATTTAGCTGTTATTTTGAACCCCTTGCTAGAGGTATGGAAGAAATTGCACGAAACGACGGTATAACCTAACAACATGTAACACCTGCTATTCTTATCTGAAGTGCAAGAGAAATAGTCAATAATTAAACTAGCTAGATTGGACAGTTGGAGAGCAGAGAACAGGAGTCAAATAGAAGAGCGCCATTGACATTGTGATCAAGTCACATGTTGCAAGATACCTAACCACAGATATGACCTAACCCGAGGACTTTGTGAAGAAATACGAAAAGCCCCAACCCGACTCGGTCTTTCGGCGTTTCTGCATACTTCTTCCCAACGTCATGGAACGACAAAAGGTCTAAATCGAACAGAAGCAGTATTGATTTACACAGCGAGACAACAGGCCTGCAGGCAACGGTGGAGGTGAATCGGATATAAAAAGTCATCCAATGAGACACCAGTGGGCCTGTGCTGTCAAACCCTGGATGGCGAACTACATCGTTGATCATTTGGTTATCTCATCAGACATGGACAAAGTGGCGCAAACATTAGTGGCCAACTACGGTCAACATTGAAGTGCAACTAACGCCTAGGCCTCTGACCCATACAGAAACGCCTGTGGCATCTAGAGATGCTGGGCTCTCCACCTGACCGTCTATATGGATGAGAGGTTGGAAAAGTAACACGGCCTTAACGATGCGGACAGCAATTCTCTCAGTGATACGATTGTCAGAGATGATACAGATGCCTAAATAGTCCCGTAAACCAATTCAGAGGTCGTTTCGCAAATGAAAAAACTTGTACTGTAGGCCCCGTTCTGTAGAAATACTCCGCATGTTCAGAACGTAAAGCCATACCAAAGTGCGCAACGCTACGCGTCAGCCTGCTCAGTGGCGTTTCCATAGCAGTTGAGTCGGCCCAAAAATAGAGCTGTGTCACAGGCGTATTTCGATTTTGGGGATCGATCACTTGACGAAATCACTATGTTACGAGCAGAGTTTCGACCAGTAGACAAGGCGAGTGGAAGCAGAAAAATTAGCCCAACAAACCTCGATGTTCTTGGAATAACAAAGTGGAAACCCAGTCCCAAAGACAAGCGGATAAGCTGACAGTGAAATAACAGTGGTTCTGTTATGTAAAGGGTATTCTTTGTGTGTTCTAGTATACATCTATGTTAGCGAGATGTGGGATGAGAAACGCAGGCTGTAGACGGGGAAACCGGTGTGCAAAAGCAGTAAGAGGACCAGTGAACAAATTTTGGAATAACGCAAGCAACTGCACGAACTGAGCAAGGGACCACAGTCTAACGGGTGTGTTAAACTGTAAACTAGGTGATAGAAAAGAGTCACTTCGTTCGAGAAGGTTGATCGAAGAGGTATGTTCCGTTCAGTTTGTATAGAGGAAGTGAGAATGGAGATGATTTGTGACGATGATAGGAAGGGCTGCAAGGAGAGCACTTTCATCAAGTAGAGATCACCCATGCCAACAGATTCCACCCTTACAGTAGCCCACTCAATGGGCTTAAATAACACTATTCCAATTATATGATACAAATATACTTCGCTTCAAAGATAGATGCACACGAAACCTTCAAATTCAAAGGTTCAAAAGAGAGATGACACCAGTGATAGAGATAGCATTCAGATGGCGGGAAGGATATGAGGCGGAAACGATCAAAGGAAAACATCAGGGAATGTGTGCAGACGCTTAGAAAAACACTTAGTTAAAAGGATATAAGCGTGCTTGCTCGCAAAAAGCGGCAAAATTAAAACAAAAATTCAAAATAGTAGTACAATCTTGGATCTGATGGGGAGAATACGGCGCAAGCCCCATGGTCACAAAAAGGCACAAGGGCAATAAAAAAGAAGGGAGGAGATCGGGACAAACTGAGAGACCGTATTGGCCTATGGTTGAGCGTGTGAAGTATGAGAGTTTGGCACACTGAGTCTAGATAAAGCAACAAATAAACGTAGTTGGTCGACTAAGGGCATGTGCCAATCCCGATACAAACTTGTACACAGACTTTCCGGAGCGACCAAACGCAGACGAACCAGTTCAGCAAGCATAGGTCCAGTTAGATCGGACAACACAGCTTGGTACTGTGACAAACCCACCTGATCTACCCAACGAGATAGGTCAGTGGAAGCCCATGAGCATAAAAACCGGGGAGTTTCGTCACACGGTGAAATGGATAGGACCGGATTGGGTTGGTTGTGTGGGGAAGAAGCTGCCAAAGAGAGCGCAGGGAGAGGTGCCACGTTGTGGGCGGTGTCGGCTAAAACGTGGGATGGAAAAATGAGTGATATGAGCAATGCAGTTTCAAAAGAAGAGGAAAAATACGAACGAACAAGTAAGTTATTATAGTTGCATCACTCTTCGTGGCATGGAAACCAAGCAGTGATCGGTGATAAGATGAGTGAAATGAGGAAGATGTGTTGTGTAAAATGATTAACCAGTTAGCATAGAAAAGGTAGCACTTGATCAAAGATAGGACGAAAAAGTAGTAGAATCAACCGTTGGTGAACTGAGGTTAATAAACGGAACAAGGAGGCATAGTAACATGCTAAGTGCACATAAATTGGGTTAAATCGTTCTATTCATAAATGGAATTGTCCACGGGAGCGCCTACGCGAAGCTAGGTATAAGGTTACATGATCGCACCTAAGATATCCAGGAAGAAGACCAAGTGAGACCATGCGCTGGGCAGTGAGCAGTGTGGGTAGAGTTCAACCCACATCAAGAAAGTTAGTTGCGCTATTGCTAATGGTAACAGAAGGACCGATCGTTGCGCAAGAGATTCAACAAATCAGTAGATGACGACATCTGCTGAGTAGGACCCTAGACATACAAGATGCGGTCCAGGTTCTTTCAACGCTCCACCCATGGTGAATTTGAGACAGTTGAATCAAGCAGAGCTTCCGTTTGGGGTCTAGTGGGGAAATGAGCTTGAATGCTTGCCATGGCAAACAACAGAATGCATTATGAATAAAATGAATGAAATGTGTCAGCTTATACGCCGCAACGGCGCTTCGCTGCCGCGCGACCACCACCAGTCGCGCGCGGACTGAGTATACCGCGAGGACGCCCACTCCTACGCGGATTCGAACCGGTGACCTTATGGTTGGAAAGCAAACGTGCCAACCACTCGGCCACCGGCCGACAAACAGAATGCATTAAGGTAGAGAGCGAGAAATCGGTCGGGATGTTATAATATCTGGAAGGTGTCCGTGTAGTAGAAATAATCGCATTGTGAACCGCTAATCAAATTGTAATGTGACTGCAGATATTGCAGCGGGACACACGGAATTTAGCCTGATCTAAACGGGGAAGGAGATTGACAACACATGAAATACGTCCACTGAGCAAGAATCAACGCATCTACAGTTTGTGATCAAACGGCTTACTGTCAATCCAAAGCCGAATCGATGAGACAGTGGTATCATTGTGAGGTTCACACCCGGTGATGTGTCACAGATAAACAGACAAGTAGACACTATGTCAGCCATGGAAAATGAAAAATTACTGAAATTTCCAGATACTGATAGACAGAAGCTTGCATCACGTTCCGCATAGGTTTGCCCAAAGTCCAGAAGATGTACCGTAAAAATCGAAAGCAAGACGGGCGAAAAAGTTCTGACAGAAATGAATAAAAATTTTCTGGTCCTGCAATAAATTGAGGAACACGTAGATGCAGGAACTTAAAGTACAATGAGAACTAGCACGCAGCCGAAGCACCAAGAAGTTAACAAGCCATGTACCTTTCAGTAGCACAACCCGCGGAACTGGAATTTAAGATAAGATTGAAGTAGTCTGGTGTTCGACACGGACCATGCAGCAGAACAGTGCCACAAGCACCACGCCAACCACAGTTATGTTTCTTAACTTGAAAAGAGCGTTCAACACAGCCAATCGTTATTATAGTTGACATAGTAGGAAAGGTTTTTACCCATAATACGCGATTACTTTGCGTGTCTAGTAACTGAGCACCACATGTCACGTCTACATCTACGATGAATTGTCGACACCAGCTGGATATCAAGTGGCAATCGCCAGGTTCGCCCCTCATCAATGCTGACAAGTTCGATGGTAAACCAAACACCAACGTATACCATGGTAAGGTCTATTGATACTACTGGTGAAAACACGCTGGACGGAAATACCTAGAGATAGCACTGCCTTCGGCGAGCGCATGGTGTCAATCAATCCTGTGCAAACTTACCAATGTTTCCATTCTTCAAAAATCGCTTCGCGACGCCAGAACATAGAGCAATATTGCATGGCCATCAAGTACACGCATTGTCAGGCCAATGGTGATGCGGAAACTACAGAACTGATCGATTTACCTACTATGGTATATGCAGTATCATTGGTGGGTGCGTGGTTGAGAAAGTGAGTTCACGTAATGAAAGAACTACGATTGCGAAGTTTATTTTGCGTCAGGGTATTTCTTTGGAGTTTCAGAGCGGTGTACAAACCGCCATTAACTGCAGCGGCAGTAAGACTCAATCGTACCCAACTAAAAACTGCAGAAACCTTAAAGATCCTCAGTACCATCGATTACAGAAAACTGCTCGTGTCCAATGGCTTCACTGTCTGCACAGGTGAGCGCTACACGGTGGAAATCTGGTAAGTCGCACCAAAAGTACTGAACAGACTGACTGGTCCAAGTAAGTGCCAACTACTGTAACTAACCAGTGAACAAGAATTTCATTTTATTTACATGGTGCTAGATGGCAACAAACAGCAACCTGATTTTGGGAAGATAACCACTAGACTGGGTGCCATTCGTCCGCGAAATTCTCACGGACAGAGTAAGCGTGACGTAAACCGCGTTTAGGTCAAGGTAGGGCATGAATGCGCTTGCGGTTGACAGTAGGGCCTAACTTGCAGTCACATCTTAGTCGAAATCCCCGTTTAATGTGTATGCAGCTCTGTTGATTAAAGACGGATTAGGACACGGAGTTGTCAAGGCCTTAAGGAAACTGTCTCGCTGATGTCGCCTTACCAGACCGCCAGTGTTTTTGTCCCGTCGGGCCCGGAAATTGAGCGTTTATGAAACTTCAGTTTAATTAAACATCCATGATCCGGGCGCTGAAAGCGGTTGGGATGACTCGCGTCGCCAGGGCAACAAGCAAAAACATAAGGTGAAAAAACGAAATAGGACGCAGGCAGAACACAAAGGAAAATAAAGAGAAAAGGCGGATAAGATTGATTGTGTTGAATATTAACAGCTAGACGCAAGAAAACAGATGCAAGAGAGACAATGACTTCATAACTGCGCTATACCCGACAGAAACTATAACCATTGGTGGGGACCATCCCGAGTTTCCCATTCAGGCAATTTCAATATGCTTTTGTGTCCCATCTTGCAGTTTTGACCAAATGGGAAACGCAACAGTGCATAGTGCCTGCAGATGAAGTTGGTGGACTGGCATACACAGGACATGGCATAGCAAGGTGACTGGAGCACGGAGACAGAAGGAACAGTGGGACAAATTTGTCCGTAACGAAGTGGCTTATGTTGTACTTCAAAGTAACAGTTGGTCGCTGGCAAACGCTGAACCAGGTCAACACAAATAGTCCGGTACATATTATGAGGTGCAAGATTCGCGCTGATGATATTGACTTATTGGCCAACAGAAGGGAGCCTATGAATAGGGGAGCAGATGGAAGTCAAGTAAGGCTTATGTATGGCTAAAGTGTGCCGTTCGTAAGCGTAAAACAGATCCAACTGACTTTTATCTGTACGAGATCCAATGAGATTGGTTTCAGAAGACTTGTATTTTAGGCGCCTTCCAAACTGAATATTTCGACATGAAGATAGCACTAAGTGGGTTAGGCAGCCAATGAGACCAATATCAGTGTTTCATAACCAAATGTATTGAGTGAAATCGAGTCGTTACTTATCCAAACACCAAAGCATCGTGGGTCCAAGTACGCAACAGCATTAAGCCGGCACACAGTACCGACGATTAGCCGCCACGCGACCACCACCGGTCGCGCGTGCGCTGGGTATACAGCGAGAAGGTACATACTTCCGGATTACGTGTAGCCCTTTCGGCTACCGGTCGACATCGTGGATCTAGGTGCCATAGATAACATCGTTTTACTGCTAAAAACAACAGAAATTTGGAATACAGGGGAAAGTGAGACGTAACGTCTAAGAGACGTAATGAAACAGTGTCCGGGAGAAAGTAAGAATTGCCTACGAAATCCACTATTTTAGCGATTAATCGATTCTTAACGATCATCGCATCGACTTCGAACGTTCCGGAATGTTCTAGTTCTGCACGTGACTAAAAACCACCTGACACCTCGAAAAAAGATATGGAGAACAACTAACCATGGTGGCTGACCTTCCAATTCTAGAAGTCGAAGGTTAGTAAGGGACAGATCCACAGTAATCGTACAGTGTTTGTTGGCGGCGAGTAATAGGTTATTTTGTCAAGGACATTGGTGTTCTGCTTTTTTCTTCGGTTGGGCTAGAAGTTTTGTGGAGCAGTAAATTGCTATTTTTGGAATTGCGTCTAGTGAGAAGATTATAATAAACGGGAAAAATCAAACAACGATATAACGGCAAAGCGCGATGGTGTCACCTGTTCAGTGGCTACAATAAGGTCTTTAATCACTGAGTTGAGCTATCCAGTGGATCAGTTCCGGGAAGCAGTATACACCATACCAACTAAGCCATTCGGCTGTACCAGTCAGTCGTTCTGCAGTTTTGTACAATTTATTACAGTGCCCAAAAACATCACACTGAGGCAGGCTATCAGTACGCTGTACCGACGCTTCGCTGCCGCACAAACACCAACAGTCGCACGTGGGCTAAGGATAATACGAGGGTCGCCCAGTCCCCTACGCACGCTCGAACCCGCACCCGCGGATTACAAGACAAGCTTGTGATTCTTTAGGACACGGGCTGGCAAGCTATTAACAGGCAGATGAAGCAACTGATCGGGAAAACGTACGTGTGACATGAATAAAGTTACGCAGACACTGATGATGAAGGTCAAACAGCCACACAATACCGTTAAGACGCAGGAAAATGTTGTTGATCAACAAGGTAAATCGACCGTACTATGACGATGTACATAATGTCTTTGATGACAAAACCAGTATCCCACGGTGCAGAAAAGCAACGCGTCTTATTGACTAGTGTAGTGTCTATACTGCTGACTGGACAAACAGACGCGATTCCGCTACAAAGTGTCAAGTACTCCCGTAGCGGACAGACTCAACTGTACAGCTTCTCCCATTCACAAAAGCGGTAGACAGCCATTTCACTTATGTCGCAGTTAAAACCACAGTCATGCAAGTCGCCAACGTCAGACTTGAATCAGTGGTGAGCTGTTGACTACACGCTGAACGAGGATGAGCCAGAATCCTGAACCAATCCAAGAAGAGACGGGTCGCGTGCAGTCCCAACCGGAGAAAAAGGTTGTTTAGCTCCCCTCTGCATGGCGATGCCTGGATACGTCGAAATTGCTTCAAGCAATTTGGTGAAAGTGGATGTTAACCATAATACTATGGTAAATAGCGTAATAAAATAGCGGCAGTAAGAAACAACACCTGTAAATGACGACAGATTCAGCATAATTATGTTTACAACCCATAGGGTTAGAGTGCCGAGTAGGGTTAGTAGTAAAATTGCGCGCACCATGGGAAGCACTGGGAGCAAAGTGCCGATGCGGGCACAGCAAGTTCTCCAATAAAAATGCTGAGCATTGTAGAGAAACAAAACTGGATCGGTAATGATTCTGCAACGCTATCCTACTAAGGCGTCGAAGCTATTAAAACTGACAGGGGATTCATGAACCAACGGTTGACTAGCAGCGATTACTAGTTATGAACGCAGAAATGAAGCGAGTGTGTAGAACTCACATGTAGACGATTCATCGCGTGAAGTAATACGTGTCTGTTCATGTGGCAATGAATGTGCGCGAAAATTGCGCTTTCTGTCGGGTTGGACAGCCGGTGAGTGCGGAGAACCAGGAGACTCCAGGATAGAATTAAAGCTCAAGAGTCTGGTGTATTCAGCTGCTTGGTCTGAGGCCGCCCGGGACCGATGACCCAAATCGCCTAGTTGCTCTGTAAGTTTATCCATTGCAGTATGCAGCATCGATTCGTTCGCTAGGGGGATGTGGATGATTGTTGCTAAAAGCAGTCCCAACCAACCATCGGCGACAAAATTTGGCTCCAGTTGCAAAGGAAACAGAGGCAAGCCCAGATTGTACGCGTACTTGACCTCTTGACGACAATGTGGGGAAAGCTTGAACGCCTGTGATACGCCCAAGATCATCCCCGAGGCTTCTTGAATGCCTTGAGCCATTGCGTCGACAAAGGAACCACCTGAGTAGGAAAAATGGCACGCATCTCTTCAAGTCGCGCAATGAAAGAGAGCGATCTAAGCCCTGAATTTACAGCATAAAGGTGGGTCACACGAAGAGTACGGACTAAAGGGCTGCCGTGCAAACGTTAAAAGAGACTGACTGCGAGTGTTCAAAACAGAAACATCTACGCACAGAATGGTTGAGAAGAAAGCAAATTAGTGGAGTATCACTGGGTGGCACGAAGCAGATTACCACTCGGCATTGCTAATTGCTGCTGCAATGGGAGACGCACAACAGTGAAGTTTACTAGAAGATATTTGGAGTGGGAACAACCCTATCAGAGTGCCGAATGTCAGGGGAATCGAGGCATCAAAGAAGCAGAGATGTACTATATCCACGTGAGTACATACATGTTGCATGTTGAAAGACGAGGTAATGAACAATTCTAGTTTAGGCCACGCCACCAATTCGCAAACAGAGGCTGTCAAGAAGTGAAAACGCAGATTAACGTCTTGCTCCGTTTAAGCTAAAATGAGACTAAAAAGTTTGGTTAAACTATCAGAATGTAAAACGTCATTTCGGCAGTGGTGACGATTACTCAGTTGAAATAACAGCGGTTCGAGTGGCAAAAAAGTGGATCCAGATGTCAGAATCGGCCCCGCCAAAAAATAGAAAGCGCGAAATACAAAGCAAGATATTCAGAGGTAGAAATTGACGAGATAACAAAACAAAAAACAATGCTCAACAGAACAAAAGAAGTATGCACGGGAGCTGGTGCCTTCAAAACTGTGCTAACTCGGAAAAAGAGCTTAAACACCAAGGTGGCTGATTTCTAGGATCAAAACAATAAGGCGATACAATTAGCCTGGACAAACCTCGATAACTACCCTTGCCATGCCACTGCGTCGAAGTTCCACCCAGCTAACTGTCTAGATAAACAAAACACGCCGATCGACAGACATGTGGAATAATGTGGTACAAATCAAATAGGGGCGACGCAGCGTCAAAACCCCATCCAACTCAGGACCGAAGAGTCGGTTCAAGTGTCCGTCGATCAGCTGCCAGTGGTGGTTTCAGCAAACAGTAGCTAAAGAAATTAGGTGTAAAAATGCCGACGAAAATGAGGTGAAGAAAAAAGGAATCAAAAAAGATTTAACTAAAAACTATGCAGTGAAAGAATAATTGCAAGAATTCGTATAGAGCTGACCGTGATGAAGTGAATTTCGAGGAGTTTATCAAGAAAGATGATGGAGCAGAGTTCCTTCCTAAGGTTGATTTCATCACGCTTCATTCTTCATGTAACTGATTGACAACTTCAAGGTTACAGCTAACCAGACATAGGCACAAATGAGGGAAGTTGTGGTAGAGAGAACAATCATGTGATTTTAAATCTTTTTACCGTATCAGAAACTATGAATAGAGATTAATAACCACCAGCCAGAAGTGCCTGGCCTCGTCGACGGTGGAAGTTGTCTCAAGTGTCCTGACAGGCGGACCTCACACATTGGACAGGCCATTTCGATATTCTAAGACCAGTGAACCACAGCAACCAAGCTTGCGAGTAAACTGGCGGACAAGCAGACTCACTTCACCTCATCCAAAAAAACTACATGAAAAAGGACGTTGCGTGTAGAAAAATCAGAGTGAATTGTGCGCGTTAAAAACTACTATTAAAACGGAAGCGATAAAGGTCTGTCGAGTCACGGTTGGTGCACGTGACATGCCATGCAGCCTGGAGTGGAACACACTTGGATTAGAATATTGACATCACGCGGTAACATCATCGTCAGTGAAACGAACGAATTGAGTGGAGTGAGCTAGATGCAGTCAATCGGTGACAATCCAGTGTTGATAAACTGAAATCCGATTACGATAATTTTAACGAAACAAATGATGAGAAATCATTGAGTAGAAAGTCGGGGTGTATAAAGGGAAGTTCGCTTCAGTGAGAAGCTAGGCTACCCGCAACCCCTAAAGTATCAGCTGCGAGAGTGCAGAACGAGATTACCTCAGGTAGCGGAGTGATGGAAGGCCACAAGTGAGAAGGGAGTTGTGAAGTCAGGGACAGCATTAACATCCTTCGAGGGAACTGAGTGCAGCTCAAAAGACAGTACGAAGGTAGTCTGCAACAGTATCAGCGGAACCACGCGCCTGTCACTGTTGCCCAAGACCTGGTTAAACACAGTGGTAAGCCATACGGGACACATGACAACACCAATCCAAAGAAAAGAAAGGTGATAATAGGTGGTCGTTTGAACAAAGCTGAGCGACAGATCGTAGGCAGGCAAGAGATCAATTAGTCATTTCCGATGCAACCTGACAGACGTGGAGGAGCCAGAGAGAGGATTTAGGATCGAGCCAACCTAGAAATAAATTACGGCGAAGTGGATTGGTTGGAACAGCTGTGAACAGATGAAGCGTGCTTACTGACAAAACAGACAGGAGAGTTGACTCAAGGTGGATAACGCAGATGGAGTAGTAGTTGACTGAACCGAGTCGAACGTACGGATTAATAGATACAGACAGCTCGGGACATACGTAAAGTATCTAATGTGAGGACGTCACGACCAAATAGCATCCCGCAAGTATGAATGGTATAAACGATATTTGCTTTACAAATAATGGACTTTGATCGTTGTTCGAACTGTTTGACTGTTGGAAAGTTACACGACAGAATGGTCGTTGGAACGAAGGTAAAACAGGACAGCCGGCTAAATAGCGGATACGCACCAGAGTATCTGCTGCCGGTTGACTGACGGCAAATGATTCTACTGCAAGAGAACGAGAGAGTGCTAAGAAAAACAGGAGACAAAACAGATAAAACGTCGACTCACGCATATAGTCCACGTCCATCCAAATCAAGTAGCCTCGTTCAATGAGCGCATCTCGGACTTTTAGCATTATTTCTTTGGTGCTATGCTGGTAACTGACCATCAAATGACCACGACGACGGGGCTGTCGTCTGTCGACCGCCATCTGAGATACTATGTCCCCAGGGGCAAGCGGTGAGAGGACACGGGATGCTTGGAGATTGAATAGAACGCCTTGGGCCACGCGTCGGCAGTTTTTAGACCAATCTGGTTCCGTTGCAAACCGCTCGAACAAGCGGCGAAAATCCGACCCAGGCGTCAAACAAGAATGACTTTCCGGTATAAAAGTGAGTGACCACAAGAATTCTAACGATTTCTCAGCCAACGAGTCTGCATGCGAAGTGTTGTATGTGGACGGGAAAGTAGCATTTTCAGGTGCGCATGGAAACTTCATCTCGCATGCGACGAGCAATGCTTTTTCAATGTACCGCATTGCATCGTTGGCTATTAAGGCAACTTTGTTCCTGTCTGGCCCAGCAAGGTTTTGTAGCCCAGCAAGCAGCTCCTCAGCCTGATAACCATACTTGGTCGAGTAAAGGTTGAAGGAAGAGCTCAGTGCATCATCTAAGGCGGAAAGTAAGTAGACGATGTATGAATCATTAGTATGCAACGACTCATTCTCTTTTTCATCCACCAAAAAAGACAGAACAAGTAACGCAGCAGTGCGTAACGACAGATAGTGCAGTAGAGCTTGTTGACTGATATCCCGCGATCCGTCCGTGCTGGTGGCAGTCACGTACTGGGATAAGGCACGGAAGCCACCGTACTTACGGTAACTTGCTCTCACGTTGGGCACATGATTCATGATGTTGTGAAGCACGCCGATAGAAGAATGGACGAGTAACCGAATGTTGGTTTCTGTGAGACAAGTGGTAGGGTGTAGCTGAGGCACCTTGAGCAACAGGAAAAGGAAGAAGGGCAATTCCTTCAAAGCCAGCTTAAAGCATAACGTGTCCGATTTGTCGGTTACATTCCATACCAGCATCTGCAGCTTGATAAAATTGCTTGTCGCATGATTCTTCGGTTTGGTCAAATAATCCGTCTCTGAAGTCTCACATAGCAATCGGACGTAGCGAAGATAGAATTGGACGAATTCGTCATTATTCACAGCGTCGACAAGCCAAGAGTACTGGGTAGATCTGTACACCATAGAATTGCTTTGGCCACGCATGTGATCGAAAACGATCCGCGCATCATCGTCGTAAATAGTCTCCGTGGGGTCGCGAAGGATGTGCTGACGAAAACGGGCAGCTATTTCGATGTCCTTTGTATCATTTTCACTCTCATCAACAGTAAACATAGTGAACTCAGAGTTTGTGATGAGTGACAGTAAGGTAACCAAGTGTGCGACAGCGCTAAATGAAAAATCGCCGCGGCAGTTCTGAAACGAAAAAGATGTAAAAACACATAATTTCAGTTGTGCAGCGAGAGCAATCAAGTGATGATCGAGGAGAGGAAGATATTTGTCATACACCATTCCACAAAGGATAGTCCTTAAACGCAGAAACGAGTAGCTCTTCTAATAAAAGATAGTCTGGGAACACGTAGCAAAGAGGACAACTAGAGAGAGAAAAAACGTTTGAACGCCTGAATTAAAAGGATAAAAGTCGATGAAGCAGGGGAACGTACATTACACGTGTGTTAGTGTTGTTCCGTGATCGAACTTTATTAATCAAAGAACGCAAGTTCACTTTATATCTCGCATTGCTTTCTCGGCCAGTGGTAGTTTTGCTCAAATTCATTCGAATCGATTGTACTATCAATTCATTCTAGCTAATTAAGTTGTAAGAGCGGCGATCAACTAGTTTTCAAGATATTGCATTCATGTTCGCTCAACTCGCACGAGCGAACCGCCACCATCATGCTGGATGTGCGGGTTTTAGGCGCAGTGAGGCATGCCATTCCCAATTACTGACAGTATCTCAACCTGGGACCAAACGGCCCGTGTAATTTTGTTGTACGTATCATGCTGGCTTTTAGGGCAGAATTATACATGAGAGCATATAGGCAATTCGAGTCGCGCTTGTTAGGAAGCCCACTCAAGTAAACTGGTTTCCACGGAGACGGGACGATAACTGCACATACCAAAGTGAACAGGGAATCGGATCAGGTTCCCAAGCTAACTAGTAAAATTAGGTGGTGTCTTCATTATGTAGACGTCATGAGTGCGAGTAAGCGAAACCAAGCAGTGACATTCGCGAGGAGAAAAGGAGAAATACAGTTTGTAAACTTCCTAATGATGAGACTGTGTACAACGAAAACCAGTGGCAATCTCGATTAACAGACGCTAACAGTAAAAACTTACCACTCCCTGTCCTCTACGTGAGACTAAAACGACAGTCGAGAGTCACGTGAAAGGTAGAACTTCCACGGTTTTCATAGTAAATAATTTGATGGAATGGAAACCAAAAATGTGCTCAACTACAGCCTACAATTACTTTCTTTTGATGTTTCGTTGCCATATAACTATAATGACACAACAATCGGTCGGTGGCCGAAAGGATTAAACGCTTGCGTTGTAGTTCTGAGGTCACTGGTTCGAATCCGCGTAGGTGCGGGCAGCTTCGGGGTATAACCAGCCCTCGAGTGACAGCGAAGCATCGGCAACGTGTGCCGGTGTAATAAAGAGCAAAGAAGACCAAAGTCCAAACCCCCCAGGTAAACGTGTAGGATCAAAATGCTCAAAGCTTGCCAACATCGCATCGTTACAAACAGCTGAAGAGGATGTAAAGGTTGTGTTCGTGAGACAGACATCTCGCAATATTTATTGATCTGCATCACAATAAAGCATACCACAAAAATAGAGAAGCGCAGCAAAGTTAATGAAAAACCACGCTAAAAGTTAGCAACAAACGCAGAACCGGTGTCGACTGCGAGACCTGCCCTGTAATGGATCGAGTCAGGTAGAAGTTGAGGCACATCGATTAGACATTGCACGCCGAGAAAGAAGCCCGAGTTAATTGTGACTACTGTTCTGTGAATTGCTGAGCCCCATTTTCTGACATAGAAAGTTAATCCCATCATCATTACCAACCATTCGTCTGCGTGCCCCAGTGGTGGATAGCCTTGTGCCAATGAAAATAAGCGATACATTGTAAGCAAGGCGCACAGTGGCTCTTAAGAATCCCAGATCTAAGAAGCTATAAAAGAAGACGATCATCATCGTAGTACTGTATACATGACCATAAGGAACTGAAATACTGTTGAACGCCTGAAACGTTTACCTGGGTAAAGACCAGTGGCCAAGTGATTCAGCATATAACCGTTGACGATTGCCCGGCAGTGAGGAGTCAGGTGCTGTTGAAACCTGAAATTGAAGATGTCCTCTTGTAGAAACACATTAAATGTGTATGCAGTCGGTTTGTTGGTATGAAGTCGCAAAGTAAAGCTGAAGAAAGGTGTCAAACTGTCGTTAACATTTTGTAAAAGGCCATGCATTCCATCACATATGTGTTAAAGAAGAAACACGAGACGGCACGGTTCCTGTTAATCGATTATATCAACGCCACAACAGATCGTTATTGCTAAAAAAATTTCTTCAAGAATAACGTTCCCATATGTACATAGTCTAACGCGTGACCATTTCACAAATCGCAAACACTTCATGCAGTTACATGGTAGGTGGAATGCACTCTCAGTCAATTGTCGTGTATTGCAGAGAGTCATCCAACCTAGTTCCAGTTTCACTTCACGTTGAAATTCCTCCCATACTACCTAACTCCATCGGCCGTAAAAATGCTGATGGCACATAGCGCCAAAAAGTCGAGAATCAACGAAACTTCGAGGAGGATTAGACAAACTCATGACCTGGTCAGACTCCCGACCCCTCTTCGTTGTGACGTAAAATTCGCTTTTCTCCGCTCCTTTGTTAATACATTCTCTCCGTTAGTCGTGAGTGACCAAAACCTCAATCTACGGTGAAGCACCCAAGTGCCTTCTCCTCCCAAAAATTACCCTGGTTCACACATATTATCGAAACGTTTAAAATAGTCTGAAGACTACTTTTTTGCACTCCCATGCTTAAAAGGTTTATCGTACCCAGTGCAGTGATTTTAAGTTTTGTAACCGCGCCCATTCTCCATCAATGGTTAAACTATTCTCAGCGTATTTCCCCCGGACTTCTTCGAATGGACTGCACTCACTAGGTCCGCTTACTTAAATATATTTCTGATGCTCTGGATTAAGGAAAGAAACTCTAATTGAGCTTATCGTTAACAAACATTTCGATGTACGCATTGACTTGTCGTCCAGGATTCTAAAAAACCGACCCACCTCTACAGATTGTTCTAGTATGACAGCTAGTTCTTCTACGCGACCGAACCTTACGGTTTTATTTTCTCGCATCTCATCGTGTAGAAACTCTATACTGTCATAACTGCCACGCTTATTAACCGACCTAACTAATAAAATAAAAAGTGTCAGCTGTACGCTGTAACGGCGCTTCGCTGCCGTGCGATCACCACCAGTCGCACGCGGGCTGAGTATACCGTTAGGACACCCACCCCTATGCAGATTCGAACCCGCGCCGCAAGATTACGAGACAAGTTCATTGCCACTAGGCTACGCGCCGACACCGACCCAAGTAGAAACAAAGCACCAATTGTGTGACGACATGTTTGAGTGAAAATGCACTCTATCTTCAATTTCCTTGTCAAGTTGTACTTTTTCATCGAGCCTATGTCGGTTATGCCCGCAGTGAGAATGCAGTGCTGAAAATGCACACACAAAGGTGTATAAAGTATATCCCGACTTGGACTTGACTATATGGATCTGAGAACACTAGGCGAGAAAGTCTGTGCTGCTGGCGGAGGAACGGTGGATTGTGGACGAACCCTAGACTAATTAGTCAATTGAAAAATCTACATCGAAAACAAGTTATCACACAAGTGGAGAAGAACGGGATATAACATGTCACACCAAATTCGGCTATAGTTCATGTCCGCCAGTGGTTTAAAGAATCCCACACATGCCTTGTAATCCGGAGGTCACGGGTTCCAGTCTACGTAGGGGACCGGGCGACCTACGTCGTATCCTTAGCCCACGTACGACTGGTGGTGATCGTGTGGTAGCGAAGCGTCGGAACTGAGTACCGGCATATTGCTGATGTATTTTTAACTCATGCGCCGGAAGGCACGGGCCGATAATTGAATGACATGTTCTTAAAAACGCACTGGTGACGCGGGAGAAACATTGAATCACCAAGGATCCATGAGTTAAGTGATGAAATTCGACTATACATAGGAAGCGGAAACTTTGATTTCGAAGCAACTGTAGAATCTGTGAATTGGGAGGCTTGCCATGTGAGTGAAGATATATGGGCAGAAGACGGGAAACGAATAGGCGTTAGCCAGCATTGATGATAGTGCTTAACTCGGTCCAGCCTTTCGGATAGGTTACACTACTGCCAACACAATGGGGAATTATAAGATGACACAGCCTGGCAACATGGAGAAGACAAAAAACAATTAGCCGTTCGCAATGTTACGCTCATAAAAGAAAGGAAAAAAGTGCGAACACAGGAAAGTCTTGAACAAATAAAGGCAACACAGGAAAAAACGGTAAACTAGGTTAGTGTCATGGTTTCAAAATCAGGCCAACGAATAATCTGAAGTGAGTAGGTATGCCAGATGACCGACTGGCAAACCTTGAGCAGGCGGGCTACATTAGCTGTACAAGAGTGACGCAGTGGCTATCCGAGTAATACTGAGTGGACAGACGCGTAGCGTCGCACGCTTTGGCATGTGATTTGCAGCTTCAAAAGGCATAGAAGTTTTGCATGGCAGACAGGAAGTCATCGGCAGTACGCCAGAAGATCGTGCCGACGCTTCGTTGCCACGTGACAACAATCAGTCGAGTGCGGGATGGGTACACTGCAAGTTCGGCTGCACAAAAGCAGATGTGAGCCGTTGACCCTTGGATTCTTCTGGTCAATAGCCGACTAGACCTATACGCTGCAGCTCATAGCTCTCAGCGAACAGCCACTTAGTAGTTGTGTCACCTACGGAAGTAACAACAATAAAGTCACTTCGCATATCAGCAACAGCCGAGTGGCTTTTCGGAGTCGCGACCATATGTGAAAATGGCGGAATATCCAGTCTGTCAATGAGAGGCGGGTCGTACAACACTGCTATGAGGTCGGTGTTACTGCATAGAACCGAGACCTTGCCAGTTCGTATTGAAGAGGTTAAACGCTTGGCCGTGTTTGATCACCGATGCTTGAGGAGTATTGTTCACATTTGGTGAGGACATTAAGTGAGCAATGCTGTGGTCCGCAATGTGATTTTTGGTAACTGAAGTGCCGCTCAAACCGCAACCGCTTATATTGGCTAGGTTATGTCCTTCGCAGGTAAGTTGATCCATCTCTCGGCGTGCGTCGTACCTCGCCGCTTTAACAAATTGGAAGAAACCGCCAGTTGACTAGTCAACGATGCGACATGAGGAAATTTACCGAGACTTGGTCTGGCTGGTTAGGGACATCTGAATGATCCACATCAATGGCTAGAGACACGGTGCAGTCGCGCAGTAAATGGCACACTTGCATTCGGTCTCGCGCATCAAACTCTCAGTATCTTTTCCATCCCGATTGCTTTGGTGCTCATTATTTCTCAACACCACCTTCTTAGTATTCAGTTTGCGTTCAAGGTCATTTTCTTACCAATGTTAATCATTA